AAAGAAAGAATTATATGTCTCCCCGTGGTTTCATCAAAGATAAAAGCAAAACAGGTGTTTCTGCAAACACCCAAAACTGTATTGACTTTACCCATTTAAAAACTTTATAAAGATTTAAGGAATACCTTTTACTTGCAAGTCATTACTGGAACAAAAAGATGAAAAGCCCATGACCTACCCTTAAGGAGCTTACGGTCTGCAGGACAAATAAGGAAAGGTGAGTAACTCTTCCAAGGCCGTGGCAAATGCCCTGCAGGGATACAGATGGCATCAGGACCACAGGAGAGGCTGTGGGAAGCCCTGGAAACAGTTCCTAGAAGGTCACAGCTGACCAACCCTCCTAGTGAGCCTGGGATGCAGGACTCTGGGTGCTAAAAGGGCTGGCTGGCCCCCCACTTAGAGGTCAGGCCAGCTGTCAGGCAGCAGAGACGGGTGCCTGAGGCCAGAAAAGCATCCCAGACACCCACGAGGTGCCCGGTCCCAGCTGCAGCTCCAGCAGCTGAGGAGGTGAGACTCAAAGGGTGCAGTTTTGCATTCCCACCAAACTCCCACTGCCAAGAGTAAAACTGCTCCCTTTAAAAATCAACCAGCCCTTGGAAGATACTGAATAAGATATTTAATATATGTATTTTCTCATTCAAGCAAGATCTTTATTTAGAAAACTGACAAAACTGGACATGCAAGGGTGAGGACGGTCATTCTGTAGGGCTATTTGCTCCACCTGAGGTCACCTAACCCACCTGAGGCTGCTGTGGACCAGGACCAGGGCGGATAACAACTCATCAGGAAGCTCTGAGCAACTTGACCTTCTAAATTTCCTCAATGCTCTGGGAGCCCATTTCCCAAAGACCCCTCCCTTCCCATGTCCTTTGCCCCATACCAGTTTGACCATTCTGAACGTCAAGAGCAGCCTTCCCTGCAGCGCTCTGCCTCCATTTTCAAAAACAGTAACAAAACTATTGGCTCTGAAGGAAACTCAAGAAAGCATGGCGGCTGACCCCTGAAATAACCTATTTCCATTTTGATAGATTGTAACAACTTAAGACAGAGCAAACCACTGCGAACTTTCCAGTAAGATTATAAAGAACAATCTTCACCCACCTCTTTAAAACTTAAATAACACCTTGCAACATGAAACAGAACAGTATCTGGGAGATTTTTAAAGCAGAGTTTCTTCTGTTCACTATTCTGGGACCTCCAGCGCGGAAGCTGCAGAAAAGGTCTCGCTGAAATAGGCTTAAATCTGCAGCCTTCACGAGGCAGGCCTGGCCGGGGAGAAGGCAGCCCCCTCGCCCTGCCTGGGGCCAGGCTCTGCGCAGGATGCTGTCGGGACGTCTCCCCAGGACTCACCTCCACGCGGTAGCTACCTCTCCCCGGGGCTGGCCGCAAGGCCCTTCCAGCCACAGCGCGCCCGCAGCGTGCTAATCCACGAGGCACAAGCTGCGTCTGGTCGGCTACAGTCCCTGATCGCAAAGATCAAGGCAAGCTCCCCCGCGACGGGAAGAGCAGAAAAGTCACAGCACACGCAAGGGGACAACTGACCTACGGAAGAGCGTTTCCAGAACACACCGCTTCTGGAAACTGGCGGGGCCAACCCGAATCAATGGGGCTAGGGGTGGCCGCGGGTTGGGGAGAGGGCGGCGGAGACTGCGGGTGGGCGCCGAGTC